TGAGGGAGGAGAAAAGGAAGACAGGAAGTGAAGGGTCCTGAGGAAGTCTATGTTCTCATAACTTTGTACTTTCTTCTGCTAATCTTACCCTTTTCCATTAAACATGTATTACGTTCCCACGTCTGCCTTCTAACAGAAGTCAAACTACCCCCTGGCTCATTTCTAAACACAATTCCCAATCTTCCTAAAAAGAGCAATGCAGTGACCCCAGAGAAAGTGTCTCTAAAGCCTGAACTTCACTTCTGCAGCCCTCAAACAGCACTGGACCGCAGAGGCCTATGCTCAAAGCAGCCAGAGCCTAACTTAGAAATCTGTTTACTTTTAACTATTTGAGACAGGGTCTCCCGTGGTCTAGGCTAGTTGAACTGATCCTCGTGCCTCAGCCTCCCATGTGTTGGGATTACAACCAGGAGTCCCCAAGCCTGGACAGAAAATTGTTGTATTCAAACACAAACAATAGAGGTTAAAAAGAACTAGTTTGTATCAGACTCACTTGGCACCACACTGAGAAAGCAAAAGCTGCTTTGGCATACACTGAGTCTTGTGTAAAACTCCTGAGAAAGGGTTTAAGCCAGCAAATATCCATTAAGGTAACTGTTTCGCCAATAGAGACCATTACAACCATTACAGAGGACTCTGATATGCTAAAAAGTTGGCAATGATATTCCAGTAGCCAAAGGCAGAAAGACAAAAAAGTTAAGACACAGAAAACGGACTGGGTTGGTGGTGGCAGCAGCACACACCTTTAATCCCAGCACCAGGAGGCAGAAGCAGGTGGATCTCTCTCAATTCAAGATCAGCTGGGTCTCTATAGTGAGTTCCAGCAACCACAGCCAGGGCTACTTAGAACCCTGCCTCAAAACAAAAACGAAACAGAAAATCCTGAAGCACGAATATCATGGGACCAATTCCCAACCAAATCTAAGTCTTTTGCTGGAAGGAAAGGTAAGAAAGACAACATTCAAAACACTCTGATAATTGCTGAGGACAGTAACTTGAGGGATGAGAAGAGAAAAACAGCTCAGCAGCATGCTTTTAGAACTAAAGCCCACGGATGCATTTACTGAGAAAAAGAAATGGGCCAGACCAGGAAAAACACATTAAGATCAAATAATTTGCTATATAACTCATTTCAAAAAAAAAAAAAAAAAAATCTGGCTTCTGCAGGGTTGTGGTGCACACTTTTAATCTCAGCACTCAGGTGGCAGAGGCAGGTGGATCTCTTGGAGTATGAGGCCAGCCTGGTCTACAGAGCGAGTTCCAGGACAGCCAGGGCTATACAGAGAAACCTTATCTCGAAACAAAACAAAACAGAACAAAAGATCTGGCTTCCTTAGCAACTCATAACCTACATAAACTCAGTGCAACCACACAACCAATCATTTAGCATCCTTCCTGGGGAAATGACAGAATTGCTCATTCAAATGTGTAAAGACAGCACAGCCAGCAAAGTCCAGATTGCCACCTCAGTAATGATTCCCCAAACAATAAGATAAACATGTTCTGTGCACAAATGGCATAACATTGTAATCATGCATAAATTCCCAAAGAACAAAAGAAACTACAGCAACTCAAAGAACTTATGGAAGAAATAAACATGGACAGAAGAGACGGTGCAAACTATCAGGACACAGCGTGGTAAATTGTACATATAATGAAGACAGCAGTGAAGAGTTCGGACACATAGCATGGTGCTAGTTAAATAGTTGCTAATTTATGAATGAGCCTAAATAGCTTGTACTCAAGGGTCATGTTCTGGGTTTTCAGCAATGCCAAGGGCCACAGAGTCTGAATGGCGTAAAAAGAGAAACAAGGCGCCGAATGTATCAGATATATAACAACTGCTTGTCTTAAAAAATAAAATCACCTAGTCACTTCATAGTTTTAAAAACCTAACTAATACATCTAAATTTCTCTAGGATCAAGTTAATCATTCTTCACAAGGAATTGGCTAGATGTGGCACATGCCTTTAATCCCAGCACCCGGGAGGCAGAGGCAGGCAGCTCTCTGAGTTTGAGGCCAGCCTGGTCTGCATAGTGAGTTTCAGGACAGCCAAGACTTCATAGTGAGAATCTGTCTTAAAAGAAAACAAAAAGACAAGATTTCACTATATAGCCCAGGCTAACCTTGAACAGCAATTGTCCCATCTCAGGATTGAAAACCCTGGGACTCCAGATGCCTGCCACACCAGGTGGAGTTGTTTTCCATGTACACTCTGCATAGAGCCGAGCACAGGAATACTTCACAGCTGCTGAGCAAAGACTTGCCTCAAAGTTCTTGAGACAAAACTAAAATGTGCTTTTGTAGTAGTTCTTAAAATGTTACCATAGTGTCTGGACTGTAGTCATCAATCTGCTCGAAAGTATTTATATCTCTGTTTCCAAGCGCTCTTTGTAGAGCTTCGGAATCATCGACATACCTAGGTTGGTAAGGTTAAGGAGAATGACCTTATTAACAAGCCATTGAATCACACTGCACTAAGAAATGAAATGCTGTCTACTGCCACAGAGAATCTTCAAAGTTTATGATGTACATAGATGCCACCCACTGTTCTCATCAGGATCACTGAAACAACAGGCTGGGTTGCTGGCCTGTGTCCCTGCAGGAGCTGCCCATCTTCTCGAAGGGAAGCCCGAGTCAATTTCTCCCTTCCCTGAGAGATGCGGGGAAAGTCCCTCGGGCTCACATTAAGAAATTTAACTTTTCACTAGCATGGTTTTTCAAAGTTGAGTAAAATACAACAATCTGCACGGCAAAATATAAGACCAATTTCCAAGTTGTTCTTTTTCACTAAAAATAATGTGTCAGTACCAGTAGTGTTAACAAAGGGGAAAATTCCACCTCGTGGCTCAGAAAGGATACTGCCCTGCATAACTCAGAGTTTCTGGGTCAACGTCATTGCCATAGGCATTCAGAGGGACCAGCTTCCTCTGGATGGGGTCGAACACCAGCTGGTAGAGGAAAGTGTTGTTGGCTCGGATGAACCCCGTGATGTAATCCTCCGGCACCGTTATATTCATCTTGAGATACTGCCCAATTTTCTTGATAACCTAACAATGGATATAAACATACTTCATGTGAAGCTGAAGAGGAAAGAGTGTGCTGACCCCACATCTGACACTGGAGCGTGGGAGGCAAGTCAACTGCTTTAAACTACACTAAAAGAACTTCTACCAGAAAACACAGCCAGGCCGCATCACCCAAAACTCTGGCCTCACAGCCAGGTTGGCACTGTTCACCCAAAATGCAAATTATCAGGCTTATGTGTCAGAAGTACATTTCTAGAAATAATTTTTAGAGTCCTTTCGGCAACTGGCACCCAGAGCAGGGACCCTACATAGCTAAGTCCTCTTTGTCAGTAAGGACAGGACTTCGCCTAAAGGTTTCGAGAGTCCCCTGGGTAAGACATAGACCAGGCAAAAGAGAGGTGAGAAGAACTGAAAATTTTTGAGAAGTCATGGGCCATAACAAGTGTAAAGAAAGAAGACGCTTTGTAGACATAATGCAGCATACTTCTTAAAAAAGGAATTAAAGTTAATACTTCACAACTGATTGTTTACTTAGCAGTTTGCACAGCGATGTAGTCCTTGGTTCCCAGATTAGGGAACTTTAGATTTAGAACTTTGGGATAGAGTAAGAAAGGATATTCAAGCCCGGGACCAGTAAAATGGGCCAGAAAATACTCCAACTGAAACTTTTTCTTATTGGAATATTCTTAGACAAGCTTTGGATACTTATAAGCCTCAAGAAACAGGTTCTTCACTGTTCCCCTATGGTGGTTCCTATTGGGCATATGTTCTAGATCCCCCACTTTTTCATGTAACTTTTGCCAGCATAAAAGTAGTAATTCATAATAAACCCAATAGGAGAAGAAGGACATTCTTACAGTCTATATAAAACTAGTGTTAATGCTTCTTTTGGACACACTGAGGGACCTCATTTATGTGTTTGCTACCCAAACAGGAAATGAGCCTCCAGAATGCACACATCTTATGTCTAGATATTTACTGCTGATTCTCCTCGTGCACCTTTTGTAACACTCATGTGAACTTATGAATCACCACTTCCTGACACTCCTCTTAAGACCATGGGTGGGATTTGGGAACATATTAGTGGGACTAAAGGGTGTCCTTATTGATTTGGCTGTGTTTTTCCTCATCAAGGAGTTGCTATTCCAACTCCTCTTACACCTTTACAAATTCATGATTGGCCTATATCCCAAAAGACAAGAGAGCAAACAATAAATATAGAACTGAAGAGTTCAAGGCCATCGTTAGCTACACAGCAAGTTCAAGGGCAGCCTGGAACTCAAGAAACTTGTGTGAAAACCATTTTAATGGGGGGGGGAGGGGATTGAAATGGTGCAGGAGAGGGTAAGAGGCGTTGTGATTTCTGTTAACATAAAAGAGCTTTTGGCTTAGTTCAAATGAATTAATATTCAAATTTTTGTTTAAATTTCTAATACAGTATATTGAGAGCTATAATTCACCTAAACAAAAATTATTACCACACAAAACCTTTCAGAGTATAAATATCCTTAGACCAGAAGGCCTGAGAACGACTCCCAAGTACTAGGATCCAGAAGTAAAGAGTTCTTACCCTTAGTCACCTTTTCCCTTTAGTAACACTCACAGGCTACAGATTAATATTTAGAGTTTTGAACACCCTCTGCTCCTTCATGAAGTGACAGCCCTCCTACCTTGACGATGTCCGGGTTGTTGGCCAGCTTCAGGACTTTGCAGGCCTTTGCTAAGCCGATCCCACGCAGGGAGGAGAGGTAGTCACAGCCCGACAGAATACACATGTACCGGAACTTCTCCTCCGTGAACACGTCCCCAAGCTGCCTGCACATGCCCAGTCGTGCCTGGTCCACTTCCAGTCCATTGCCAAACTGGTCCATTTTTAAAATCACCTTCACAGAGGGGAATGGTCAAGACCGCTTTGTCATCGTTATCTAAATCACAGTAATTCTAAGGAATCACTCTTGCTCCAAAACACAATTTTTTCTTCTTACTTTCTTTTACATGAAAGTGGCCAGTTTTCTATTGTTATTGCGGCAATATATGCTCATTGCAGGAAATTTTAAAAACCTAAAATTGTCCACACCCCATTTACCAATTACCCAGTGTTAATATCTAATGAGCATCCTCCTAGCAATCTCTGAAGATGCATACACACATTGCAGCTGTTATCAAAGGTAACCACCTATGGTTTTATATCTTAGTTCCCCCTTTAATAGATCATTATAAAATTTACCATTAAATCGGTTTATACATTATTTCTAAATAACTTAATAATATCCCTGTCAAAGATAAGTTAGTTTATCAGATCTATTTTAAAAAATGTAAGGCACGTGCTATTAATATAAGAAAGTAAAACTAACCAGGCCTGGTAATACAGGCTGGGGAAGGAGGAGAACCCAGAGTTCAAGGCCTGCCCAGGCTTTAGAGTTGAGTCTGAGCCCAGGCTGGGCAGCTTAGGGAGACTCAACCACAGAGTATAGAGAGAAGTGGGCTGTGGCTCAGTGGTAAAAAGTGCTCATCTAGCAGGCAGAGATTCACCTCCATACCCAACCACACACACACACACACACACACACACACACACACAAAGTCAACCAAAAGACAAGCTAAACACTAAAGTATTCACAGGCTGGGGTGTAGCTTAGTGGCAGACACTTGCCTAGCATATGTAAAGCCCTGGGTTTATTACCAGAACCCCCAAAAGCAAACCAAGCCCAAATGATAAAGCAGTACCCAGATATTAAGTGACATAAACAGGTACTCCAGGTAGCATCGTGTATGGCAGGGACAGTTCAGTACCTTCTTACAGCCGAATGCCAGGAGGTCAGAGTCCTCTGTGATGACAGCTTGCACAATTCCAGCTTTGTTAAGATAGGCCAACTGAGCATCTGCTTCATAGGGAGCCACTAGGCAGTCCACTCCCAGGGCACGGGCAGCCTGTGAGAGACCACAGTGAGCTTGCAGCGAGCTTTTGGAACAACATGGTATGAAATCACAACGGCCCAGTATCACCAGCCTCCACACACACACCAACAACACCCCAAAACCCACGTCCTTTGATGTAGAATCTTTCTACTCTCAGTTCTAATATAGTTCACACTGTTAATGTTTTAAATCAATTTATAGGCATGGGTGACAGCTCACTGGCCACACAATTTTTGGTTTTGACCCTAGAACTCACAAAAAGATGAGTTCAATAGAGCCTATATGTAATTCCAGTACCACTATAGAAAAATGGAAGGCGAGGAAAAAGCTGGCAGGTGGCATACACACTGATAAATAACAGGGACCTTGCCTCGAGTGAGTCAGAAAGGGAGGACTGACACTCAATGTTGTACTGACTGTCCCATTCTATCTATGGCATGTGCAGGCCTACACACACACACACACACACACACACACCTAAAAAAAAAAAAATCAACTTATAAATTTGAAGAAATCCTGCTACATATTTGGCAGTGGTGGTGAGTTTATGGGCAACCAAATTCATTATCTCAAATTACAAAAAGTTTCTACCTGAATTTTGTTATGTGCTGACAGCGTACAAGACACTCGTTGGGACCTGACCGGCTCTTTTCCCTATAAAGACTGCAGGCGGCTGGGCGGGCGGTCTGTCTGTCTGTCTGTCTGTCTGTCTGTCTAACACAGTACTGGTGAATTCCGGACCCTAATCACTGCATCTACATCTCGGGAAGTGCATCCTTCTGCCTCTCTCCTTTCTCCCTTGCCTACCTCCTGTCCCTTCAGCACCACTACTTGTGTCCAATCAAGATTTCTCCTCCACTGCACGTGGAGCTCTCTTCAGGGTCAACAGAGAGCATGCGGGTTCTGTAAACCCCACTCCCTCCTGTATCTGCACCCCCCCACACCTTTATCACTTTGTGGGCCATGGCATGGGTAATGTTGACAGAGCGAGTGAAGCATTCTCGGGCTTCTGACACTTTGCCCTCTCGAAGAAGCTGCTTCCCTTTAAGAAGGTTGCTTTGTCGTCTCCTGAAAGGGAAAAACATGACTGAATAGAAATGAAAGCAAACTTAAGAAATAATAGTAAAACTGCAACTACAGCAATTTCTGCTAGGATGAAAGGGCTGTGCACTTAAAACTGCGCAGCTGCAGCTTCGCATCAGACCCACGGCAGACCAGCCCGGATAAGAGTAAATCAGTTGTCTTTTGGAGGCTGGCTTGTGTAGCTCAGGCTAGCCCCACACTCACTAAGCAGAAAATGATCCAGCACTCCTGACCCTTCTGCCGCTACCTCCCATGTGCTGGGATTTCAGGCAGTGTCACCGCTCCAGCTGAGCAAGTGATTAATAATGCATGCAACGAGACTGATGAAAGACCTTCCACAGTTGCCGGGCGTCGGGAGGCAGAGGCAGGCGGATCTCTGTGAGTCTGAGGCCAGCCTGGTCTACAAGAGCAGAGCTGGTTCCAGGACAGCCTCCAAAGCCACAGACAAACCCTGTCTCGAAAAACACCAAAAGACTTTCCACAGCAATGTTTCATGTTAAAAGGTAATTGTTTTTAAATGTGACAATCTAACACAAACAGACCATCTAAGGGAATCTGTTCATGTACTTGATGTACAGATACCAAGATTTTAGAAATTTGGTACCCTATGTCCTGAAGCATCTGGCCTTAGCACAGTTAAGCCAGAGATGTTAAGTATGGAGTCAACTTACTCCCTCCGAGATCTCTCCACTTCCTTCTTAGAAGGTAAGGTGCATCCATCAAAGACAAGAATAGGCTTGACTCCATGGGACAGCAACATATTAACAAACTTCATACAAAATCCTACATACCTACAGGAAGGAAAAAGAAAACGGGAAATGCACTTATATGCTTTGAATCTCTTAAATTTTTTGCTTTATTTAAGACCAGATGACATGATTGCAAAGGATTTGTTTTTTGATGCTAAAGTTTCTAAAGGAAACAGTTCAAATCTCAATGCAAGTACTTATGGGATACGTGGTAGTTAGGAAGTCATTTGCCTCTCTAGGCCTGTGGTGCTCAAACTATGGGTCATGACTCCACTGGGGGATCAAATGACCCTTTCACAGGGGTCACTTAAGACCATCGGAAATATCAGATATTTACATTACGATTCATAACAGTCGCAAAATTACAGTTATGTAGTAGCAATGGAAATAATCTTATGGTTGGGGGGTCACTGCAACATGAGGAACTGGATTAAAAGATTGCAGCATCAGGAAGGTTGAGAACCACTGCTCTAGGACTTTCTCTATTGTAGATTAAAAGGCTTTGACATCTTTCAGTTTTTCCTATTTTATTGTTGCTCCAAGTACCTTTTATTCTTCCATTAAAAAAAAAACTGACTTGAAACATCTCAAATCTACTTAAAAGTTATAAGAACACTTCATTTCTCCCACAATGCCTTATCATACGCAAGAGACATGACAGCATTATCTACAATGCACCATACATGGAATTTCATCCAATAGCGCCAATAATGTCTCTCAGGACCAGTGACATCCTGATTAATGTTGAACAACATGATGCTTGGGGTGTCACAATATTTCACAGCAACACATAGGCTCTGCCAACTCACAACCAGAATGCTGAGGGGCAGAGATGCTGGACACAGAGCTTCTGAAGAAAGACCCCAGCAAACCGTGGCATTACTGTTCCCATATCCAGGACCCAGTGGCACTTAAGCTTAACTTTTGCATCAAATATAGTTCTCTGACCACTTGCTGTATTCTCTGCTGTGGCCAGTGACAAGGGCACTGCACGGGGGACAACAGAGGCTGCAGCTCCACTGAACATCGAAGAGCAGACGAAAGCAAACAAGGAATAGTAACATCTTAAAGCATAAAGCATCCGGTAGCACCCACTCATTTACTTCCAGGGCAGCACATGCCGACCTCAATCTAGCTTTTCCCCAAACTCCAAAGCCGTGATCATTTCTGGCTAATACTGCTATCCCTGGTAGGAGGAAAAAGTAAAGCAATTAATTATACCAAATATGGCTTCTTAGTTGTCAGGGGAAATTTTAAACCCATAGCAGACGTTAAGCATTTTAGTGTCATCAGTATTAAATGAGTGAGTATCATAGAGTGGACCTTGTGGATTCCATCTCTCACTTTTCTAATAATAAAGGATATAGCCTGTATTTTAAAAATCCTTCCAGTTAATCAAACATTTGAATCAAAGGCTGGAGAGATGGCTCAGTGCTCAAAAGTGCCAGTTGCTCTTCCACTGACTGTTCTTCCAGGATCTGGGTTCAATTCCCAGCATCCACACTGCCTGTAACTCTAGCTTCAAGGGATCCAATGCCCTCTTCTGGTCTCCTCAAGTGCCAGACACATACAGGAAGACAAAACACCAACATACATTTAAAAAAAAGATATCCCAAACTAGAAACTAAGTTTTCTTGGCTAAGAAACTATTCAAAGAAAATCAGTTGTGGTTGTTTGAATGGCCATGGCCCTCACAGCTCATGTAGTTTTGAAAACTTGGTCCCCAGTTGGTAGAACTATTAGGGAAGGATTGGGAGGTATGGCCTTGTTATGAGGTGTGTCACTGGGAGCAAGCTTAAGATTTAAAAGTCCACACCATGCCATTCTATTAGCTCTCTCTGTCTCATGCTTGTGGTTCAAAATTTAAGCTCTCAGCTCCAGCACCATGCCTCCCTACCTGCCTACGGCCATGCTCCTTGCTAGGATGGTCATGGACTCTAATCCCTGTTGTTTTATTATAGCAATAGAACAATAACTGAGACACCAAGTGTAGCAGTACAGTCCCATAAGCCCAACACGTGGGAAGCTGAAGTGGGAGTGAGGGAATTCAGGGTCATCCTGGGCCATAAGGTAAGGTTAAGGCCCACCTGGGATATACAAGACCCTCTCTCTCTCTCTCTCTCTCTCTCTCTCTCAAAAAAAAAAATCAAACACAGAAAGTAGTAATAAAAAAGTGCAGACTGCTCTTTTTGAAAAGCTTAAAGGGTATACTTTATTTTCCAAAATTAAAAGCAACTATACACAGATATGTGCAAAATGGGGGGGGGGGAAGAACAGCATATTTTTATATATCAATCCATGTGAACCTGCCCAAAGTGAGGTCACAGAGTGACACCAGAACATATTGTCCCTTTACATCATTTTGCTAATGGAGATTAGCAGTGTGTTGTGGGAAAACGTCATAGATTCTGAAAACATTGTTAAAAAGTTATCTTAGGGGAAAACCAAAGGCTTCTCTTAAGCAAAGAATAAAGAAGACAATGTTTGATCTTTGCCTGTCCATATCATGCTACTCTGACTACTTACCAAGAACAAAAGTCAGGTCTGTACCACAGAAGTCTGACAATATTCTAAACACCACATGCCCTTAATAAATGCTAGGATTTATTGAAACAATGACCCGAAAAACAAAAATTAAAAAAAAAAAAAAAAAAAAGCATCAAGATGCTGGAAATTTAGCTCAGTTCATAAAGTGCTTGCTTAGCATGCATGAAGCCCTGGGCTCTGTCCCTAGCATTACATGAAACTGGGTGTTGGTGGCACAAGCCTATAATCCCAGCACATAGTAGGATTCCTCCTCCAGGAAGCAGAAGCAGAAGTCTAAGGTCATCCTTGGCTATAACAAGTTCCAGGCCAGTGTGAAATACCTGAAGACTGCCTCAAAAAAAAAAAAAAAACAAAAAGCACCAAATCATTCTACTTCCTAAACTAATAGACACTCCAAACTTACTTATCTGTAGGTTCCCCTTTGGCTAGCTTTTCAGCACAAGAGATAGCTCCTTTGTGAAGCCAGCAGTATGTATCCACTGCGACTGCCTGTCCTTTGTACTTCTTCACATTGATGGGTTCCGAAGCTTCCTTGATGAACTGAAGTAGTCCCTGAATCCCCATCGTGCCAAGTGAGCTACATGAAATGAAAAGGGAAAAAGCAACATTATAGCAAAACCTACTCACCAAGAAGTTTTAGAAAAATAAACTCAGCCTGGAGCCTAGCACAGAAACTAATAGCTCATCAATAGCCTTGTCCCTGTCAACTTCTGTAGCTCGGAATTTCATTAATCACAAACACTAACCTGAACACCACTGGGGAGTTTCTTGTGGTCATCTTTTCCAAAACACTTTCTTTCTTACCTAGAATCCTAACATGTGCTCTCATCTCTTAACACAGTCCTAGGCACCCAGAAGGCATTAAAACTTTAAGTCTCTTTCAAAAAGATACTGTTGAAAGCCTACAAAAACTGTGCATGCTATGGCATTATATTCACCCGTACAAAAAGGCATTCAAGGGCTATATCCAGAGCTGCAGTGTAGAAACTCAAGTTAGGAGAAAGACAGTCATTTCAAGTGAAAAGTAATCAGAATTACGGGAATGTACTTTTATATGACACCAATTCAACACCAACAGAATGTATTATTCCAAACAATAATAATAAGTAATAAAAAGTAATAAGCCATGGTGGAATCTAGGGAGAGTTTCATCATACTCACTGAAGGCTGTACTCCAGCAACATGAAAACATGTCCGCTGTGCAAAAACAGCTTCAAGGAAAAAAAAACACTTTTAATTTCCACTCCCTTCTAGCCCCTTACATGGAAATTATGGAAATTATAGAGCTGCCAGCCCTTTCAAAGCAACCAATCCTCCCCACACCAACCCCAGCAGTTGCTTGGTATTTCCCAGTACAAGTATTTCTATCAAAGACCACGTTTTTTATTTGTGGGTATGTGTGTGCATGCAGAGGCCAGAGCAAGGTATTGGGTGTCTTCCAATATTGCTCTGCCTATTACCCTGATGCAAGGTATATTACTGAACCAGCTAGGCCCAATGAGTTCTTTGGATCCACCACCTCTCCTTCCCAATGCTGGGGTAGGGTTACTAGCATTCTGACACATGGGGTTTTGATAGGGGTGCTGGGGACTCTAACTCAGGTCCTCACGTTTACAAAAGCAAGTGCTCTTACCCACTCTCAGCATTTATTTGTTATGTGCATTAGAGTTTAAATGGGAGCATATGGAGACTGGTTTAAGACAGTCTTTTGGTTGTTTGAGGAGCATATGCCTGCAGAGCTGGACCTCTAGCAGAGATTCCTGGGATTCTCCCCAGGTTAAGTTGACAAGCACTTGGCTCTCCAGGCCTAAGATCATGTTTTTACTACAGGATAAGAGGCCAGCGGTGCCCTGTTGACAACATAAGAAAACAGCAAGGCTCTTGTCCTGAAACTCAGAGGTTCTTAGACCTTTAAGGCCATGCCCAGTAACCATAATTCCCTAGAAGGACAGGACTTCTGAATTTTAAACATCAGCCAATTTGGAAGCAGGTGGGCCTCCAGCCACGATTTGTGTAAAATGGAGAGTCCACCACCTTTAAAGACAATGTCTCTAAAACGTGTGTGCATTCGTGCATGCTGAGAAACAAAAGGACTTAATTACATTTTTTACGAAACTTCAGTAAATTTCTTCTAGGTTAAGTAAATCTCCAGTAAATATTTCCTCTTTAGCACAGGAGTGACTGAGCGCCATATGGCACACCAACCCCAGGAGATCGCCCGTGGCACCCCAGGTAACAGCAGCCGCGGCTCCTCCGTAATCGTGTCTCCCGGGAATGAACAGGCATGGCCCGCAAGCCCACTCCAGGCGCTGCGGTTACTCAAACCTGCATCTGAAAGGAAATATACAAAGAAAACTCGTCGCTAGAGACGAGTGTACGTGTGGACACTGGGAAAACCAGAGACGTGGAGACCAAATCGGTTGCCTACGGGCGCCCAGCGCACGCTCCACGCTCGCGTTCTCTTCCCGGAGCCCCGGATCCCGCGCCGTGGATTGGAGGCGAGGAGACCTCACTTTCCTCCACACAGCCCGCTCCTCCTGACACCGCCCGCCGCCGGCGTAGGGGACCACTCACCGGGGCGCAGGACACCAGCAAGCCGCTGCCAATGCTGCTGCAAGCGCAGCCGGGGACCTTTCAATTTGCGCGGGATCTCGAGGCCCCGCCCAGCGGACGTGACGTCACGCGCGTCCTGGGCCACAGAGTACGCCTCCCTCTCTCTGTGGTGACCCGCCTTCCTCTCATCTGGGTCTTGAGGCCTTCCTCGAGGTATGGGGATTCGCCTCCAATGGCCAAGGCCAGCTTGAACATTGTGAAGCTGGACCCAGTAGGGAACGCTTATCCATGGGGATGGGAAAGGGGTGGAGGAGGGAGAAAGCGGCGCCCCGGAAGTTGCGTTCTTGTTCTCGCCGGTGCTGCTGGGAGTTGTAGTTCTCGTTTGAGCACGCCATCCAAGCCACGTACAAGCGATCTAAAGAACGTCCAACTTGAGGTCAAAATTGTTGTTTTAAACCTGGAAAAAAAGAACTCAGCTGGAATTAGTCGTTAGCTCCAGGCCAATCCCAGAATCTTTCGTCTCTCCGAAACGTCCTCACCTCTGTGCAAATTGAAATTGAGTTTACTACAAGGCTTTCATGTTGCAACACTATGATATCTGCTCTTACCTACGTTATCCACTATCTGGCTCTATCCCTGACACGAGTTGGAAAAATGTTATTTTTATAACTAAACAACAAGATGGGCCCATGGTTCACAGACATTAAAGACATCTTGCATTTTGGTGGCTGCCTTGGGCCACATTTCCTAATGTTATCAAGGAAAGAAAGCCCCTCTACTCTCACTTCCTCTTAATTAACTTTTAAAGCATACTAATTTTAGAAGTCACACAATCGGACCGTGCGTAATTTAGTCTCCCACTGTCTTTGCCGTAGCAGACACCACTGACTGAAGCCATCTAAGTGTGGTGTAAGAATCTTTCCCACCTCTATCCTTTGGAGAAAGTTTTTCTCTCTTGCTCTTCTGGTAAAGGGCAATCCTCCATGCTCTCTAGGGGAACAGAGGACTTTAATATCCTAACAATTAGTGGATGAATTAACTATTCCTGGGGAAAAGAACTCAAAAGACACATGTTGAGATTTTATGTTGGGCTACATTACAGAACCCCAAACATCTGTTAACATACAAATAAATAGCAGCAGCTTGTGCACCGGTAAAACAGACCACTGAAGACTGATAATTACCAGGGTGCCCTTCTCATATACCCTCCCACAAGTCCCTAGATACACAGCTTTGTCTGCAGCCCCGGGGAAGCTGGTCTTTGTTGGGTAGCTACTCCCTTTTCCTTGCCCAAATAACTTAACTGTAAGTCACTGGACTTTTTGAATGGAGCAATGAATGTGGGTATACAGTTATAGGAAATTCCCAGATCTGGCTAATGTTCTCTTTTATTTGGAATACTGTAGTAAATCTCTGAGGGTGTGTGGGAGGGGGCTGTGTGTAGGGTGTGTGTGCGGGCATTTGCGGGCCTGTGTGTGCCTACATAAGCATGGGGTGAGACTTTAGCCATACTGGGTCCCTTTAGTTCTATCTGGATAGAATCCACGTTGGGCAGGCAAAGATGAACTCTTTAAGTGCATCTTAGCCCGTCTATTCCTCTTTCTTTGACAGTTACCATCTGTGGAGCTGCAGCAAGAGGTGGCATCTAGTGCTACACTTCAGCGGATGCCTCAGGTAACAGAACACATGTTACAGCTGTTGTGTGTGTAGGCTTTGGGAGCCAGGTTTCCTCAGGTGTTAGCAACAGCTGGCATTAGAGCTTCTAGGCAGGCACAACATTGGTATTTCTCAGCTCTTGACAGAAGTTAGTGATACAACAAAACAGCACTAGTAGATTCTCCTTTAGGATCTTTAACCTTCCCAGGCATGAGATTCATTTATAGTACCTGGAGTGAATTATCTTCCAGAGAGCAGGCCTCAAACTCAATCAGAATTCAGGTGGTTACCCCTACAACTGTCACACCACTACTGCACCAGAGGGCACATTTTATTTGGCACTTCAGTATTGTAGGAAGCAGGGTCCCGTGCTGGATACGACCACTGATAGTTTTTCTCCAGTAGGCTCCCTGGCACCTTCTGGTGCTCAGAAAGCTAACCATCGTGGAGGTTTCCTGGTCGGTTCTAAATTGATTTGTCTATCTATATCCTGCAACCAAGTGTGCAGTGTCTTTTAGCAATAGGGTCTTACCATCTGGCTATGATGGACAACCAAGTATTGCCGTCTGCTTCATAACTGTGGGTGTAATTTGTCTAGCTGCTTCAAGCTCCTACTGCTGTTGCTTCCCCCACTATAATGGACTGTAGCCTCAAATTTCGAAATAGAATAAACCTTTTTTCTCTTAAGTTGTTTGAACAGAAAAATTTGTCAGAGCAGTAGGATAAGTAACTAAGATATATGTTCTTAAATTCCCGCAGAGTTGTACAGACCATACATTTTTCATCATGGGACTCAGTTATGATATTTCTCATTTTCTGAAGTCTTCTTTGAATGGGATGTCAGTTTGATAGCACCCAAACTTCCTGAGGTGATGCTATCCTAACACTTATCATCTCCCATTCTGGTTGACTTTTGTCTTTCTATATTCTAAAAATCCTTTGAAGCATAATTGGTAGACTTTTATTATCTAAACAAACAAACAAAAACAACAACAGGTATGTTCGATAGAATTTATGTGAAGTGAAAAAGTATAATTAAAATGGTTTTACAAAGACACCCTGGATTTGGAGGGAACATTGAAAGGCACTAACTGTCCTTCTGGAAAGGTAGATAATCCTTTCCCAGAGGCCAACCTGGCAGTTCATACAAAGAACATAAAGGAAAAGGGAAGCTAAAACATTTCAATGCTGCAATGATTCTTCAAGGAATTTATCCTAAGAAAACTGCTAGATTAGAGGATAAAGATATAAGTGTGCCTATCATCCAAAATAAAAATAAAAACACTCCAAATATTCAACAGCAGGTGGAAAGTTGAATCAATGTGACCCACCCATAATGAAGGAATATAAACTCTGACATCAATGCATATGAATGCCCAGGAAATCATGATACAGAAGAAGCCACACATTTTGTTTATATATACTTTAAAGGCAAGCTTATCAAAAACTTCATGCTCACACATTACAACATAGAAGATAAAAAGTTAATATTCGATATCTCTAAATAGTAGTACACCTGAAGATTTTTCTATCCTTCTCATGGCCAAAATTTTTTTAATTCTTCATACATTTATGTTTTTAATTAATTATTTAATTAATTTACTGTATGTGTTTGTGGTTGCCTCTCTCTCTCTCTCTCTCTCTCTCTCTCTCTGTGTGTGTGTGTGTGTGTGTATGTGTGTGTTTGTGTGTGTGTGTGTAGGTCAGAGGATAGCTTACCAAGTCAGTTCTCTTTATTCTGGGGACTGAATTCAGGGCTTGAGGCATGGTGGCAAGGATCCTTACCTGTTGATCCATCGTTCCAGTTCACAGAAAATATGTGAGTTTCTACTGAACTTAGAAAATAGATATTAACTTAGAAAGAAATGGACATCTTGACTTGTGGTGGGTGAGTAGTATGAGAAGGAAGGGCATGGCATTGGGTTCAAGTGCAGTAGTGCCTCAGATGACAAGAGGAGTTGTGAGATGCATTTCCGTAGATACTGTTCTTTAGGAGCCTCAGATGACAAGAGGAATTGTGAGATGCATTTCTGTAGATACTGTTCTTTAGGAGCCAGAGCTTTACAAAATACACAGGAGAAAAAAAGTGGGTAGAGTCATCAATGCCACCGCTGGGTGAGTCTAAGGAACTACGATGTGCAGCTGAAACAAAAGCCAGGGACAGACTATTCTACCAAGAAAAGTCATCCCAATGTAAACCATTGGTGACAGCCAGCCATCGCCTTTCCAGTTGTGAAGGCATTTTATGGAAGCCATAATCTCTACCCCAGGGATGATTTCTAGGTAGTTCTGATCATTTCTAGGAATCTCTATCCAGCATTTCACCAGTACGATTTACAGGTACTCCAGAACAGCCAATGTTTAAGTCGTTATATCATTGGAAGAGCTACTGAAGATGGGATCACAAAGAGAAAATGGCATGGAGAGGACGATATTTCTATCTGTGTTGTGCAAATCTAGAAATGTTTATATATGTTAAAGATTCTATACTGCCTTATAGGAATTGCCATATGAAAATTCTAATCTTGTGCCTAACAGACACACCATGTGGACAATAATTTAGTCTCCAAAGGACAGAAATACCTCAGTGTGGATGGACTAGCTGTTGATGGAGAGTAAAGCAAAGGAAAACTCAGACAGCTAATGAACTCAGACTGGATTCTGGGGAAGAAATTATGCTTATCAGCCCTGGCAGTGGTCCAAGGTCCTACCAAGGACACTGGGCATCATAAAGATGCAGACAAGCAATGCCATGCTGTAGGAGGAAAAGAGATTGCTGAGAAGGAGGTGGGGGGGAGATAAGGAAGTGTGGCCGGGCTCCATGGGAAGTGTCCTTATTTATCACGTGTTAAAACTTGATCATCACAAGTCACTAGAATTGATATGAAAAATATACATCTCCGTATTACAAAGATTTTTGGGAGCCAATGTATTTCATGAAGTATTTCATAGATTTTTTGTTGTTGTTGTTGTTGTTTTTGCTTGTTTTTATTCCTGGAAATACATGGATCAGAGCAACAACAAATTATTACGACTTAATAAAAAAATTGAAAGCTAAATGAAACAAATGCATTGAAGAGAAACTCGCCGGGCATTGGTGGCACATGCCTTTAATCCCAGCACTTGGGAGGCAGAGGCAGGCAGATCTCTGAGTTCAAGACCAGCCTGGTCTACAAGAGCTAGTTCCAGGACAGCCTCCAAAAGCCACATAGAAACCCTGTCTCAAAAAACCAAAAAAAAAATAAAAAAATAAAAAATAAAATGGGGAGTTGGTTAATGATGAAACAGCCTTTAAAATAAAAAGACCAGCAGAATGTGTCTGATGTTCAGAGGAAAAGACGGTAACCTGTTCAAGGCCTGTGAGTCCCTTGTCTGCAGGTGGATGGTGTCAAGTGTGATGGAGCATTTGGTAAATGTTTTTGACCCTGGAAGTGATAGGCACTGTAAGACAGAACAGCTCTCAGAAACATCCAGATTCTTGGACTGAGATCTATTGCATGAGTTCTCTACCAATGCTCAGTCCAAAGGGGTGATCCTGTCCTCAAACTGCATCCTCAGGCTGTGCACCCTCAGACTGCTTCTTCAGACTGCATCTTTAGACTGCTTCAGACTGCCTGCTGCTCAGACTGTTGCCGGCTCTATGA